CCCCCAATAGCTTCCTTGTTACTAATAGCAGTGCCCTTTGCTCCTAGTACCTTCTTGTTCCTAGTCGCGATGGCAGGAGCCCCTAATAGCGTCCTTGTTTCTAGCAGCGATGCCCTTTGCTCCTAGTAGCTTCTTGTTCCCCCTAATAGCGTCCTTGTTGCTAGTAGCGATGCCCTTTGCTCCTAGTAGTGTCTTGTTCCTAGTAGCGATGCCAGGAGCCTCCAACGGCGTCCTTGTTACTAGTAGCAATGCCCTTTGCTCCTAGTAGCTTCTTGTTCCTAGTCGCGATGCCAGGAGCCGCTAATAGCGCCCTTGTTACTAGCAGCGGTGCCCTTTGCTTCTAGTAGTTTCTTGTTCTTAGCAGCTACTACTACTACTACTACTACTATACTACCACTACTACTACTACTACTACTACTACTACTACCACTACGACTACGACTACCACTACTACTACTACGACCACTACTACTACTACTACTACGACTACCACTACTACTACGACTACTACTACTACTACTACTACTAGTAACTACTACTACTAGTACTAGTACCTACTACTACCTAAAACTACCTACTAATACTACCTACTACTACATACTACTACCTACTACTACTACCTACTACTACCACCTCGACCACGACCACTACTACTATCACTACTACTACCACCACTACTACCACCACTACCACTACTACTACCACCACCACCACCACTACTACTACTACTAGTACGACGTTTGATGGTTAAGTTTTTTTGGGTTAGGTTTTAGGGTTAAGGTACTACTACTACCACCACTACTACTACTACGACTACTACTACTACTACCACTACTACTACTACTACTACTACGACTACCACTACCACTACCACTACTACTACTACTACTACTACTACTACTACCAGTACCACTACCACTACCACTACTACTACTACTACTACTACTACTACTACTATGACGTAGATAATGCTTTTGTTGCGCAGACATTGAAGTCCAGCATATACAAAATTTACCACCTGCGAGTTCAAGGCGTTCCGCCGATTGTCATCCAGCTTAGGTTGGGTGACTACTCCAGCTCAGGTTTGATCGAATTCATTAACGTGTTTTCACACACACATGGTTTTTCAACAACCTATTTCTTGAGTTTACGATATGTTGGAAAAAAGTCTGGACTGAATTTGTGACGTTGTATGATCCGGTATGGTTGCTTTGTTCCCGAAAGCATTGCGAAGGGTTCTTCCGGAAAATCCTTTGAACACTGACACTTCGACACTTACACTTCGACACTCACACTGACACACACACACACACTGGAAGAGCGAAAGCATCCAAGTGCGAAGTATGCCAGTGTCAAAGTATGCAAGTGTATAAGTATGCAAGCATGATATGCAAGCGTGAGTATGCAAGCATGCAATGACTATGCAAGCATGCAACAAGCATGCAATGAGTAGGCAAGTGTGAGTATGGAAAACTAGCACGGGAGATGTCCTAATGAAAAAACATTTCCCCACTTTATAAATTCTCTTTTCAAGGCGGAGGGCGGGACGAACAGCGTCAACCGAAAGTGCAACCCTCTGCGGAGATCGTGCGTGTCGAGTGCGCGAAATGCAGGCGAGAGTGCGATTTGCCGGCTGCGCGCGCAACCCTCTGCGGAGACCGTGCGCGTCGAGTGCGCGAAATGCAGGCGAGAGTGCGATTTGCCGGCTGCGCGCGCAACCCTCTGCGGAGATCGCGCGTGTCGAGTGCGCGAAATACAGGCGAGAGTGCGATTTGCCGGCTGTGCGCGCAACCCTCTGCGGAGATCGTGCGTGTCGAGCGCGCGAAAGCAATCTGTGGAGCTGGGAGCTGAGAACTGGCGACTTTGTAGTACAACTTTAGTACGCAGAGTATCTGGAGAGCTGGAAGATGAGCACTGGCGACTTTGTAGTACAACTTTAGTACGCGGAGTAGCTGGGGAGCTGGCAGCTGAGAACTGGCGACTTTCTAGTACAACTTTAGTACGCGGAGAAATCTGTGGAGCTGGGAGCTGAGAACTGGCGACTTTGTAGTACAACTTTAGTACGCGGAGTAGCCGGGGAGCTGGAGGCTGAGAACTGGCGACTTTCTAGTGCAACTTTAGTACGCGGAGCAATCTGTGGAGCCGGAAGCTGAGAACTGGCGACTTTGTAGTGCAACTTTAGTACGCGGAGTAGCTGTGGAGCCGGAAGCTGAGAACTGGTGAGTTTCTAGTACAACTTTAGTACGCGGAGCAATCTGTGGAGCTGGAAGCTGAGAACTGAGAACTGGCGACTTTGCAGTACAACTTTAGTACGCGGAGTAGCTGGGCGGTGGGAAGATGAGAACTGGCGACTTGGCAGTACAACTTGAGTACGCGGAGTATCTCGGGAGCTGGAAGATGAGCACTGGCGACTTTGTAGTACAACTGTAGTACGCGGAGTAGCTGGGGAGCTGGAAGATGAGAACTGGTGACTTGGTAGTCACGGAGCAATCTGTGGAGCTGGAAGATGAGAACTGGCGACTTTGTAGTACAACTTTACTACGCGGAGGTGACTTTCGAGAGGTGAAGAACTTGCAGAAAACAGGTGTTCCTGCGCTTCAGAAAGACATACAGAGAGAGACACATACACACACACAGACATAGATACACACACACAGAGACCCACACACTGCCTCAACACACTCGACTTAACACTTCACACTGAACACTTATAACACACTTAACAGATAACTCGCACTCTGACTTCCTACGTGATGAAAAATGCTTTCGGGCCACTCGTCGTCTAGTTTTTTCTTTTCCTTAGACCTCTCTGGTGACCGATCCTGGCGACCGATCCGGTATGGTTGGTTTGGTTTGTTTTCCTTTCCTTTGCTAGACCTCCCTGGTATGGTTGGTTTGGTACGTTTTCCTCTCCTTCGCCATAGACCTCTCTGGTGACCGATCCTGCGACCGATCCGGTATGGTTGGTTTGGTTTGTTTTCCGTTCCTTCGCTTCACCTGTCTGGTGACCGATCCTGGCGACCGATCCGGTATGGTTGGTTTGGTACGTTTTCCTTTCCTTCGCTAGACCTCTCTGGTCACCGATCCTCGCGACCGATCCGGCGCGCTTGGTTTGTTCGCCGGGCCTGGGCAGCCTGGGTAGGAGCATGCGGGCGATGTAGATAATGCCAGCATACATTGAAGTCCAGCATACAGGTTTGCAAGCTTGTTAGTGGCGACCGATCCGGTATGGTCGGCTTCGTTTGTTTCACTTTCTTTCATCGCTATACCTCCGGTGACCGATCCTGGCGACCGAGCGACCGATCCGTTGAGCCTGGTCACCGATCCGTGTTTTCCAGTCGCCGATCCGTAATTTCCGGTCACCGATCCGTGGCGACCGATCCGACCACCTTGGTGACCGATCCTGGTGACCGATCCGACCCTCACCCCCTACTGGCGTCCTTGTTGCGCCAAGAGCCCCCCAAATAGCGCCCTTGAAAGACTTGTTGCCCAGACTTGTTTGATCCATTGAGTCGACCTTTACGTCTTCTCATTTTCTAAGTCTGTCTTAGGCATGGGCTGGTCGGAAACTTCAACGCCAAAGAGGACTGTTGAATTCTCTCTTGACTCAGATGATATTCTTATACGCCAGGATTCGGCAAGACAGATACTTGTGGGAGACAGCATTGTGGAGGCCCTCGAGCAGCTTCTGCGTCCATGAAGCATCATGACGGATTAGAAGTACCACAATGCTGCGATTTACGGGAATGTGTTTTGAAGGTGAATGGAATCCAAGATCCTGAACAAATGCTGAAGGAGATCAAGGCTTGCAGAAAAGTTGTTTGTGCATGAGTGCGCAGAAGGTTCCATTGCATGTATTTCAATCTGTGACATGACATTGTAATACATTTCGTATATATATATATATATCACGAAAGCCAGCCGGTAGGGGGTGGTTGCGCGGTGGCGGAGAGGTTAAACCCAGAGCCTGGTGGGGGAGAGCAACAAAAAGAGGCGGGCCGCTTGGTAGTGAAAAATGAGTGGTTTGAGGGGCGTTGTGATGCCGGTGATGTGATTGACGGCGAAGAGTGCATCATCAGCGTCATGAGGGGCTCAGGAGGCCATGGAAAGAGAACAGATTGTAGTTGCGGCTATGCTTGCGTTTCTGGACTGAAGAGGGGACTCCCTACGCGGTGGGAGTTGACGTGAATTGGGGTTCCGCCTCCAACGCGTGTTCGCTGCCATGCCTTCAACAACCCCCCATTCCGCGTGAACTTCCACCACGTGTGGAGCGCCCTCTTCAGTTCGGTTCTCTCGCAGGCCCTGAACAGATGGCATCATGCACCCCATGCGGGGGTCCCCTTTTCAGTCCAGCAACTAGACCTTGCTGCGGCTACAAAAGGGCGCCCCTAAGCTTAAGCTATTCAGAGCCAACCTCTTCTCTCTCCCGACTCTCCTGCCCCCAACCACCACATGTGGAGTGCCCTCTTCAGTCCGGTTCTCTCGCGGGCCCTCAACAGATGACATGTGCACCCCATGCGGGGTGCCCTTTTCAGTCCAGCAACTAGACCTTGCTACGAATAAAAAGAGCGCCCCTAAGCTATTCACGACCTTCCGCCTCCCATGTGGGGTGCCCTTTTCAGTCCAGCAAGTCGACCTTGCTACGGATAAAAGAGGGCACCCCGAAGCTATTTAGGACCTCCCGCCTCCAACCTTTGCCCACTGCAACTCTTCTCTCTCCTGCCTTAACAACCTTCCATTCCACGTGAACTCCTACGACATGGGGAGCGCCCTCTTCAGTTTGGTTCTCGCGCAGGCTCTGAACAGATAGCATCATCCTGCGGGGTGCCCTGTTAGATCCAAAAACTAGACCTCGCTACGGAAAAAAAGGGAACCCCTAAGCTATTCAAAACCTTCTGTCTCCAACGTTCCCCATGTGGGGTGCCTTTTTCAGTCCAGCAACTAGACCTTGCTACGAATAAAAAAGGGCACCCCTAAGCTATTCAGTACCTTCCGGGGCACTCCCTGCGCGGTGGGAGTTCAATGGACCATCGTCTTGAATTTGTACAATCTCCTTGCTGTACCAGTCACATCTGTCATCTTACATAACTATTTAGCTATTTTGTACTTATGACATACCACATTGCATCCATACCACAGAGGTTAGCAGTTTGGCCATTTGAAGTGGCCAGCTGTTGCTGGAAACTGTAGCACTTACTCCAAACTACATTCCAAGCTTACTTCACGAAAGCCAGCCGTCAACTCACTTGAAACATAGACCAACACCAACACACCATACCCAACCTTCCCCAGACTACAAGGGTGCCCTCTTCCCCTCCACAACGCCCCAACATCGAGATGCTAAGCCAAAGGGCGCCCATCCGAAACCTCTGTATTCTACTCTCTCTTTCCATTCTTTTTTCGACTGACGGCCATATCCACTTCTCCAGCTCCTCCTTGTCCACTCTACCTATACACATATCTCACGAAAGCCTACCGATAGCCTCACCCACAACCGTCTCGGGTCATTCATTAATACCAACACGCAGCTGACGAACTCACATAAATCTTTGAGGGTACCCTTTTTCACCCCCAAAGCATTCCTGAACCAGTACGAAAAAGGGCGCCTCCCCTTTTACCTCCACCGTCTGTTTCTACCTCCTCTCGCGTACCTGCGATGCCAGCTTCACCCCATAAACGTACTCTTTACATAATGTTAGCCGATCACTTCATCTTGCACGCTCAAGTAATATCAACCTCACCACTTCCGGCTACTCTTTGTCCTCTCTACCTATACACACATATATATATATCTCTCTCTCTCTCTCTCTCTCTCCCCTCACCTATACCCTACCCATCGCCTCGCGCATGAACCCCCACCGCCGTCTTTGCTCACTGATTCGCAACACGCCGCCGGCAAGCGCGCCTCACTTTTTGAGGGGTGCCCTTTTTCACGTCCAACTCCTCCCAGAAACGGAGCGAAAAAGGGCACGCCCCCCCCAGACCTATGTCTTCTACTTTCCATGTCTACCCCTGTCGGTGTGGCTGCGATGTCAACTTCGCCCCGTGACACTTTGCCCGATGTTACCCCATCACTTCCTCTTGTACGCCAAGTCTTTGCCCGGGCCTACTGAAGACACCCCCTAAGCCAGAGGCTGGCTTTCGTCCAGGTACATCACAATAGGCCATAACAGACCTGCTGTATATCCCATGGAGTCGTGGTATGGTGTCATGTGCCCGAGGACTGGGTGTGCTTTGAAGATTTTACATCTTGTACTTAGGGCAGACCAATGGTGCTGCACAGGTGCCAATCTACCTTTTTCCCAAATATTTGGCTTAGACAACTCGAAAAGTTTAGAGAATACTCCCGCCTCGATTCTACGCATATTGATGCACATTGTATTTTTCACAGCAAATGTTGAAATTTTGACAATTGAGGCAGCTTGCATCTTCATTCGATTGCTTTAGGTGTCACAAGCTTTGCTGCTGGTGCTGCTCAGGACGCAGGCCTTCGCGCCCGGGAACATGTCATGAAATTTCATGCGTTGATGCTAGTTATGTGTTGGGCCGAAAGGATTTCCCAAGAAGGCAGATGTTTGCTCCGATATCTTGTGAAATGGATGGTTCTTTTCAATGGGAGATGGTGTTTACAGTGTGTCCTACCTTTCTGCTGCCCAAAGCACGGTATTTATGCCATTTGGAGCATGTTGCGAGGTGTGACATGTAATTACCAGAACACTGTGTTGATGCGTTTATAGTTTTCGCGCCCTGGCTTCTCGGGTCGGCGGCCATGGGCGCTGGGCCTTCTGCTCTGCAGAAAGTAAGCGCACGCGCGCATTATTCTATTTACTGCTATACGGCTACTGCTACTATTACCACTACCACCACTACTACTACTACTACTACTACTACTACTACTACCACTACCACTACTACTACTACTACTACTACTTCTACTACTACTACTACTATTACTACTACTACTACCACCACTACTACTACTACTACCACCACCCTCACGATGCGTTGCTCACCTCTTCAAGACATATGGCGATCACCTTGTTCGGATGCCCTCACCCTTTGCCATACACTGCACTCTCATCCTGTGCGTCGAAACCCCTCGCTTGCCGACAAAGGATTCAACGTTTCATCTTGTTCTTCTTCTTCCTCGAAGCGCGACTTTGTCTCCACCAGACCTGGCGGATGCCCAGATAAAACCTTTCGACTCGGCCTTGTTGGGCACAGGCCTGTCGTTTGCCGAGCCACGACAATGTCGTTTTCCTGGAGTTGTTTGCCTGCACGCTGGACAACATCACCAGTGCTTCATGCCCACACTTCAAAGTCAGTCCAATCTCTTTCACGGCTATGTCTTCTTGCGTGTAGATCACATCACAAGTCCAGGCACTTTCACCAAGATGTGGTGGTGAGCAAAGTTTTAGCCGGTCGGATCTCTAACGGCCCCACGCCAAGCTTGGTAGTACGCACCGAAGATTGCAGACGTCGCAACTCTGTAAAACGTGGCCAACGCTTGTTGAAGCGACCCACATGGCATACGTCGAGCTCCACCACTCCCCTCCTTTGCAGCGGTTGTCCACGATGTCAGCTCCGCAAAGTACTTAGCCTAGCCGTGGCTCCCCGCAACGTCACCTGCGCGATGGCACTCTCGTCGGCCAAGAGAAATCCCACCACCTCATGTGATGTACCACACCTTTCCGCAAACCTCCTCGCATTTGGGGTTTTTGGTCGGCTGCCAAAGATTCTCCGGTGATTTGCCTCTTGCTTTGTGGATCTTTGTGGCCATCTTGTGCACATCGAACAATTTTTTCACCACCACCACCACCACCACCGCCACTTTACATGTCATTGCTCGTTCCACTTTTCCTCCCGAACAAGAAGCTCTACGTATCCCCCCACCTGACCCGCCTTGTTACGGTGAAGGCCGAGGTCTTTTCGTCGTCACCTTTACTCATTCCAAATGTTCGCTAGCTTACGCTCTGTCATCCGCGCTGTCCTTGGCACTCGCAGTGAACTGCGCTCTCTCCATATTATGGTGTCGACGTCGGCTACCCTCTCTTTTTTGCGCTGTAGTGTAGACAGTAGTCTCTCACTGTCCAATTTTTTCCCGCACATATTCAAGCTGCACTCACGGCAGCCAGTCTCCAATCATGGAGCGCCGTCCATGCGCGCGCAGCGCGCGTGCCTTGTAGGATGCCCAAGGCTCATAGCTGCGGCTGTTCTTCCTCGGACATCGGACGACGAGGCTTTCTCTAACACACCGCTTCAAAACCAAAAACGTTTTGCTTAGCATCTTCCACTGTAATCCACCCTAGGAGCCTACCGTCTCCATATTAGGATGTGTAAACGTTTGGTTATATATATAATATATGCCTTGTTTCACGGCCCCGCCTCTCGATAAACTTCACGCAAAACTTGCTCTACACAGGTTCCTGTCTATCTGGACGGCCCGACGGCCAAAAAGAATGAGGTTTTCGGCTCTGGTCGCTGGCTTCTTTGCGGGGCGACGACGTCCGCTTCTTGGAGGAACTTCGAAGTCATCTTCCCACTTTTCTCCGTCTTCGACAACAAGCCTTGTTGCTTGGCTGTTTCAGCGTCCTCCGAGTTCGCCACGCCGTTCGGCTACCTCGACCCGTTCAACCATGAAGCTTGAGCCCCCTGCCCGTGAGCCCTACGAGTCGCCTCCATATCCACGCGCTAACCTGTTCCTATCGCGGACACCTTGGACGATGCTACGCCACAACAGCGAGACTGCAAGCTGCCTTTCGATATACTTCTTCCTTTACGACTACGTTGAGCTCTGACCCTGCCTCCGTCATCTGCACATTGCTGTTCTCAACGCTGCTCGCTTCCTTGAGCCTTCATGAAAAGCGCTCTGCGCCACCACTCCACGACGTCAGCCCCCTCCCAAGAGGATGCTGCCGGGACGCCCCGATTCCAATTGCCTGCAACACATTCCTACAAAGGTGGGAGGCCAAAAACCGTGTATTTAGGTGCCATCAAAAAGTTCCCAAGGAAGGCAACCACGAACCTGACATTCTAGTCACTTGAAGATTAGCAATCATGAAAGTCCTGTAAAAGGTCAAGCATGCAGGCATCCACCCAAAGAAGCCAACTGTTTGGTGAGGCATCAAATTCACCTTTGACGAAGCTCAGACCCGAGGCTGGATGGTGAGAGAAGGAGTTTATGCGAAACGATGTGAAACAGCCAATTGATTTGTTTTTCCCGCGTCGGACTCGAGCAAGGCACGGGCGTTTGTTCCTTTGCATGGTGAAAGGCTGGCTGATTGTTTTATCCTACGTCAAGCAAAGCACATGAGAGAGTAAAGGAGCCGCACAAGCAATCCACACAGCATTCCTGCATGTCAAGGACATATCCTGCAGCATTGTGTTTGCAGGCCAGGAGTCTCAGTACAAATACAGGGGGTCATTGATGAAGCAGTACTCCACTGCATCACTTGAATTTGTTCACGGACTTCATTCGCGAAGTGCCGCGAGAAACCTGTGCCACCAGGACCCCGCAGGGTCGGATCCTTAGATTTGGCTGTAAGGCTGTGCGATTCAAACCACCATGCGATTTAAGAGAGAAGAAGCGCTTTGACGATCCTGTTGCGGAGAGGTAAGGCCCGACAACCCCAGAAAAAGTTAGGATTCTTTCAAGATGGCGGGGGGGAGTTTCCTTGAAGAACCCTTCGCATTGATTTGGTTCGACTTTTGTGAAACGATATCAATTTATATATACATCAATTTACCAAGCAGCTTGCGCATGGTCATGGGGACTACTCAAACTGCAGGCATGCAAGACTTGGCGAGAGCACGAAGGTGAGTGCCTTCATCCTTCAAGTACTTCATTTGCATTTGTGTTTTGTACTTGGAATGTGAATTATAGAATCGCTGGAATTTATTCCTTGTGATTTCTGAGTGCAATTCCTCTCAAAGTCATGTGTCATCAGGTGAGCCGAACACTATTTGCTGACGAACTTGCAGGCCGAGCGACGAGAGAGAGAGAGAGAGAGTCGAGTAGTCGCTTGGAAGAGCACTTCTTGCATATGCACAGTGCCAGCACGTGTCAGTGAATTGAGAGTGTTTGAGGTGAGACGGGATGAGACAGATGCTATGCCAGGTACCCATGAAAGCTTGAGTCTTGAGACAAACCCGAGAGTCTTGAGACAAATGAGCCACGCCGATAAACCTATCAGTTCTAAATCTGAAAGCAGCGCAACAGAGTAATTCTGATGTATGCGCTATGCGCTTGCTTCTGATTTTGCTAGGCCCAATGTACTGCAGATTATTTATGACTTTTTGATATTGTACTTGCTGGCTCAAACTCAGTTTGGATGCTTGCTCACACTTCAAGAGCCTCTTCGGCGGGATTGGGGGTTGCAAAAAGTACTCGCCTCAGGAAGCAGTGGAGCTGAGTGGAGCTGAGAGCGAGTTTGCTGCAATCAGCGGCACTGCGGCACATGAGTTGCATACAGCCAACAGTTCCACAACAAAGTGCCGACATCAAAAAAAAATCACGTTCGTCACGGATGTTGCTATGGCAATGTCAATTCTAGTGCCCGGTCGAGAGTTGTTTAATCAGGTTTGATCTGTCTCCTGCTGGTTGCCAGCATCAGACAGAGTTCCCATTCACGTGGCCCCCACCTAGGGTGTGCCAAGCACTTGGGTTTGCCAGGCAGTGGGTGGGTCACACACTGGGTGTGCCATATTGGGGAAGTGGCCGCGAGATGCAAAAAGGAGCTTATATATGTATTTTCACCAGGACGCAAAGCGCATGCTTTTCCGGAACGCATGTTGCTGAGCCGTGCTTTCTAGAGAAGAACATTGAATTGGAAGATGATAGCACGTAGTGGGACGTCCGTGTTCTCGTTCTCAGACCTGTGCCTGTGTCAGGCCGACATGTTGAAGCATTGAATCCCCGTTTGACAAACAAAGAGTGACACCACGTCAAAAAAACAGCAAACTGGCAAGCGCTTCAAGGTGGTTCAAACAAATTACACTGCTTTTTTGTGGTGGCACGCAGCGCTCCAGTATGATTGGGACAAACAATGTCGATCGACCACACACAACTTGCGGACACGAATCCCGCCCCTCAAAGCCCTTCCACGTAGGTGGAGTGCCTAAGGGATAGATAAGATACAGGAAGTGTATGAACAAAACATGCAGTGACCAAAAAAAAAACACACAAAATAGGGCCAATTCAATGTGAATTGAGTGACGAAAGCATCTAATTACATAATTTTGGAATCATGCGGTAAATCGAGAATGCGATAAGTATCACCTGGCCATTTCACATGCCTAGTTCTTAATTCTTCTGGCGGAGGACGTGGGGTGGGGTTTAGGGTGCCTACAATGCCTAGAAGAATGAAAAGAAGAGTGGAATGCATAATGCATGTTGAATTATGCAAAGAAGATGAAAATTGTATATTTTGACGTATTTTTGGATATTATATGTTGATTGATATTAACGATCTACATAATGTTTAGTTTCCGGAAATTTTTCTAACATTATAGAAGATTTTTTTTGATTTGCCGAATATAGATTTATATATATATTATTTAATGG